CCTTCCTTCCTTCCTTCCTTCCTTCCTTCCTTCCTTCCTTCCTTCCTCCTTCTTTTTTCTTCTTTCTCTCTCTCTCTTTTTTTTGGTTTTTTTGAGACAGGGTTTCTCTGTGTAGCTCTGTCTTGGAACCTACTCTGTAGACCAGGCTGGCCTGGATCTCATATCGATCCCCCTGCCTCTGCCTCCCAAGTGCTGGGATCAAAGGTGTGTGCCACCACCACCAGCCTTATTTTCTTCCCTTTCCAACTTCTCTTAGATCCTCCCTGGCAACTTCTCTTTTGATACAGGGTCTCACTATGTAGCCTGGTTGGTCTTAAACTCACTTTACGTAGCCAAGACTGGGCTCCAACTTGTGATCCTCCTGCCTCTACCTCTTAAGCGCTGGGATTTAGGAATACATCACCACATTCAGCCTCCAGTCTGGCAATTTCTTATCAGATGATCCAAAGGAAGTAAAAAATTGTGTCTACTCAGAAATTTCTACAGAGAAGCAAGCAAGTTGTCCTTTAGTGTGTGAGCAAATAAATTGTGGAATACACAATGGATTTTATTTTGCACTACAAAGAAAATGAATTATCACTTCATGAAAAGGTATGTAGGAAACAGTACTTAATACTAACTGAAAGGAGCCAGTTTGAAAGGGCTACACACTGTCAATGAATCAAAGTATCTGGCACTCTGGAAAAGGCAAAAGTAGGAAGATACTAAAAATAAATAAAAATCAGTTGTTGCCAGGTCAACAGGATGGAGGGAAGAATGGATGGGGGGACACAGAGGGTTTTACGACAGTAGAGTCACTCTGTATGGTACTACTACTGGTGAACAGATAGCATTATAAATCTGTACACACCAAGAGTGTACAGCACTGACGGTGGCCCTGATGTAAGCTATGTGCTTTGGGTGCTAATGATATGACAATGCAGATTCACTCATTTCTACAAATACACCATTCTGGGATGGATGCTGCTGAGGGAAGCTGTGAATGTAGGGAAAACAGAGACTACATTAAGAAAAAGCTTTATGTAGTCTGCACATTTGGCTATGAACCTAAAAAGCATTCTAAAAAAACTATTAAAATATACATATAAAAATTATACATGGGCGTGGTGGCGCATTTAATCCCTGCACTCAGGGAGGCAGAGGCAAGCAGATGTGAGTTCGAGGCCAGCTTGTTCTACAGAGCGAGTTCTAGGACAGCCAGAACACCACAGAGAAACCCTGTCTCAAAAAACAAAAGCAAACAAACAACAACAACAAAATGGAGCTGGAGAAATGGCACTGAGATTAAGAGCACTGGTAGCTCTTTCAGAGGACCAGGACCCACATGGCAGTTCACAAGCATTTGTAACTTTAGTTCCGGAGGACATGACTCTTGTCTTGTGGCCGATGGGGTAATGCATACATGTGGTACACAAACATGAAGGCAAAACACCCATACACATGAGGAAAAAAAAGATTAATTTTTAAAACCATATATAAATTGATAACATAAAAGTAGACGTGAAATTGTAGTACAGAGGACTAGTGGAAGGGGCGGGCTGCCAAGTCAAGGGTAGTGTGGGGAGTACTGGGGAAAATATGCTAAAGTCTATTCCCAACGTGAAAACAGCCTATGTAATCCTGTACAACACATATGATATTAGTACAAGAGATACCCAGATCACTTAATTAAACATGACGATTTCATCTTTTAGGGTATAGTTACATAGAAACCATAAGTCAATCAATAAAAATAGTATTTGTATATATTCTAGTCCACAGGTGAGTATTATCCCATAACAACTTTTCAAAGCAGACTGAGTCCTTTGTGGCTGATGTCTTTTGAATAATATCTTAACGCTACACTATTTTACTGCTTCTTTGAACAAAGTTGCTCCTGTCAGTAGTGGTTTTACACAAAAGTACATGAGAGCACTGACATTCCAGCATGTCTGCAAACACTTGGTCAAGACCATGGAGTGTGCAACATATCACTGGCACCAAGGTGAGAAGGCTTGTGAGTCAAGCTTGACCTGATCCACAGGAACCTCTGATCAACGTGAGTACACAGAACATAACCACTACAGGTAAGTAGACAGGCGATTCTGAAAATTCAAGCATTGCCGCAGAGACATCAGAAAATAGAAAAGCAACTAGATTTGACCTGATAGAGAAACGCTACAGAAATGCATGGTTTTTCCGACATCACTTTAAAAAAGACACTAAAAAAAAAAAAAAAAAAAAAAAAAAAAAAAAAAAAAAAAAAAAAAAAAAAAAAAAAAAAAAAAAAAAAAAAAAAAAAAAAAAAAAAAAAAAAAAAAGGCATAATGATATGAAAATAAAAGTAGATATAAAGTAAATAAGGAATGAACCAAGTGTCCTGGTTGAGGCAGATCACAGATGAGGGATGGATGGGAACTCTAGGCAGCAACAACTGAGGCCCGACAGTGCTAACACAGGCGAATAAGATGCTCATCAGACAGATGCTGTACTGCAGCCCAGGTGATGTTCTAGCTTCTAGGGTTACACAG